TCTTCACAACTTACAACCCCGAAACACATTTTTCACATAGATAATCAACAGCCCCTAACTTCTCCAAAAATGCACAAACAACAAAACAGAGTTGACTGGTATTCTACCTGCCTAGGGACCTTTCCGTTGATACCATGAAAGTCTAGTTTACTGCCCAATTCCCTCTTTGATACACCCACCTCCAATTCTACATCACCCCTCAACTCAATCTAACCACTCGAATAAAAACAGGATTGAAAGACCATGTTGCTAGTCTTTTTCCTAGTAACTATTGGAACTATATACTACCCTTAATATTCCTATTATTACCCCTTGTCCATTTTTAACAACTACATCCCTCATTCCTGCCTTTCACAAATCTGCCCCGAACTTTCTCAAAAATACTCCCATCACTATGGGGACTGGATGGTACGATTCCTCATTTTCCGATAATGCATATGGTACCACTCACCTCTCTTCTACTGTAATTGCATGACTTTTAACGCGTATTTTCCCAACTGCAATTTGCATCACATCAGAGTCCAACTTCTTCAGAAATACTCTCATAATTATGGGGGTAGATGCGACGATTACTCAAGCTAATAAGAAGCTGATAATACCACTCACCTCTTTTATACCGCATCTACACAGCTTGTAACACCGACACCCCCAAATCTACTATGTATCTCAACTGAGTCTAACTCTGTCAGATATACCCCCATAACTGTGGGGAGTTGATTATACGACTTTCCACTCTCCAACAACGTATATAGTACCATGAATCCCTCTTCTCCTGTAACTGCATCACTTTTAACACCGAAACCTCAAATCCACTTCTCATCACAACGGAGCCCAATTCGCTCAGAAATACTCTCATCTTGATGAGGAGTGGGTAGGAATATTGTTCATCTCATGCGGTTTGGAATGAACCATTCACCTCTCTACTATTATCACTGTATTACTTTCAACACGAATATCCCCAATTGTACTCTACATCACAACTGAGTCTAACTCGCTCAGAAATTCTCCCATCACTACGGGGAGTCAATAGGGCGATTTCTCACGCTCCGATGATGTATATACTACCATGTGTCCCTCTTTTACTGTATCTTTATCACCTTTAGCCCCGAATCCCCCGATTGCACTTTGCAGCACAACTGAGTCTAACTTGCTCAAAAAAGCTCCCGTAATTATGGGGAGTTGATACTATGATTAAACAAGCTCTTATTGTGCTGATGGTACCATTCATCTCTCTTCTATTGTTACTGTGACACTTTTAACCCCAATACCCCCTTTTCGACTTTGTATCACAACTGAGTCTAACTTCCTCAGAAATACTCCCATCTCTATGTGGAGTGGCTAGGACGATTCTTCAAGCTCCGGCGATGTATATGGTGCCATTCATCTTTCTTCTACTGTATCTACACAACTTTTAACACCAACGCCTCCAAATATAATATGCATCACAATTGCTCAGAATTTCTCCCATTACTATGGAGAGTCGATAAGACGATTTATCTATCACTGGGAATGTTGTTAGTACCATCCACCTCTCTTGTGCTGTATCTTTATCACTTTTAACACCAATTCCCCCAATTCTACTTCTCATCACTTCAGAGCCCAACTCCCTCAGAAATGCTGACATCATCATGGGGAGTCGATATAACAATTCTTCAAGCGCAGAAGATACTTATAGTATCATAAACCTCTCTTCTACAGTTGCTTTATCACTTTTAACACCAACACCTTCAATTCTACTTTGCGCCACATATGAGTCTAACTCCCTCAGAAATACTCACATTGTCTCAGGGACTTGATCAGCCCGCTCTCCTGAGTCTAGTGTCACAGAATATTGCCTTTACTGTCTCCTATTCCACCTCTTACACATTTTTAACCCCAACATCCCTAATCTTGCCAAATATAGAACTTCCTTCAATCTTTCCGCAAATACCCACACTGCCAAGCCAAGTTGACCATTGTGTACGCACCACTCAGTTGATTCCATTAACACCCTCTCATCTCCTTCCAGGTCTTTACTTTTTTAAAAAAACGGCACCCCCAATAACTCCTCTACAATCTCCATATGCTCGTCACAACGCTAAAAAACAACAAAAACATCTAATAAATTACGTATCTATCCTTCACACCCTGCACTATCCTCAGTTCAACTGCTCAGTGCTCTCAGAAGTCTCTCTCACTCTCTGATCTCTTCCTTTCTCTCCCAGAGCCTTCTCATGTTCCTCCTCACTCATATCAAGACTATCGGAAATACCCTCGATAATAACTCCTTCTCCCGTCTTTTCTCCGTTCTCGTTAACCAGCACGATTCCGTTTCGCAGACAGTCTCTCTTTTCGTCTCGTTTGTAAAAGTACAAAATGACCAACGCCATAATGGCACAGCAACAAGCACAAGCTGCACAGGTACCATATCCTTTTCTGAACCGGGGAGATTCTTTAGTAGGAAACACAAGCACCGATACCCACGCGGATGAACTCTGGCCCAGCATATTCATCATAACAAGCACTATAGCGTAGTGTTGAGGGTCTCGTCTCATGATGTCTGCCCACCAGGTGTACATGATAGGACTCATAGCCCAGGAAATGTACTGGAGACAAAAGGCGAACCATTTGGCGCCTTCTGGAACCTCCCAGACCGCCAGAATGACTGCTCCTATGAAATTGAACATTTGCGTGATGACAATTCCTCCCCATCTGCATCTAGCCAAATCTCCAAATAAAGACGCCAAATAAACGTAGGCAAATCCGAGACCTGGAGCAATGGTACTGAGTTGGTTGACTTTCTGGTTTGTGTATCTTTGGTTTCCATTTTCGTCTGTCAGACTCTTTAGCCAGAGAATAAACGTTCCTGCGTTTCCACTGGTGTTGTTGTAGAAGAAACACGAGATGAGAATGGCTGTAGGGAGGTGCCAGGAGGTGAACAGGGGTTTCCAGAGCGTCCAGTCCGTCAGCTTCTTGAGTTTCTGGCCCTTTTTCTCCGTCACAAACGGCTTTTTTCTCTCTCGACATCTCAGAATCTCCTCGTCCGTCAGAAACAGAGAAGTGCACTTATCTGGCGTTCCAGGAACGATAAAGTAGCCCAAAACTGCCAGTGGAAGCGTACAGATTGAGTCGACAATAAAAACCCATCTCCAACCCTCAAATCCTCCCACTCCATCGAGATTAAGAGCTGCACTAGCTAGGAGACCGGAACTCAACAAGCCAAGAAACTGACCCATGTAAAAGAAACCAGCTCTTCTAGCCACCTCCGAAGGCTTGTACCACGATCCCATGAGGTAGTAGATGGTGGGAATAAATCCTGACTCAAAAGCACCTACCAGAAAACGCAGGGCTTTCAAAGCTCCAACAGAGTGCACTTTGCAGGTCAACAGAGTCATCAAACCCCACATACAATCGACAGCAGGAATGACAATGTTGAGAGGAACTCGGGGAAGCAGAAACATGAACGGCAGCTGGAAAATAACAGCTCCAGCAAGATACATGGACTGAACATGAACGAGATCGTTACCCTGGAAACCAAGATCTTCCTTCATACCACTAACATAGGCATTGTTGACGTTGGTTTGATCCAGGTACTTGACCCAGTACACACAAAGTGAGTACAGCGTCAGCAGAAGGTCCAGCTTGCAAATCAGCTTCTTATCTGATTTGGTATCTCTCTCGTCAAACCACTTGAACCACTTGTGAGTCGCTCGTTCGTACTTGTTCATTCGGTACTCGTACTCATCGAAAAACTTCCACCAAGGCCGGTTGGTTTCGTCTCGGTACTCTAGAGGGAATTCCACCACGTCTGTTTCTCTTTCAGTCTCCAAAGAGCTGCTATCCACAGGATCCTCCACATGTCTCTCTTTAGGCAAAAACCTGGAAAGTCCGCCAAGTTTCATTGAAGTCGTATTTTGCTTGGTACACTTGCGCACTAGGGCCGCCAAGCCGACTAATATATACCCCGCTCATCTGTCATTTGTGTCACCGACATTTGGGCTCTTTGTTATCTTATCATGTTTCACTTTGATGCAGATCTTATAGAGGTGGGGTTACATCTCGAGAAAAGTGGGAGAAAAATGTTAAATACGACTCAGGAAGTTGACCAAACCGTGGAGAACGTGGCAGAGATGAGGACGTCTTTTTCCTGGTTTTCTTCTCGTTTTTTTGACCAAGTTGACGCGAAAACGTGCGCGCAAAGTTCACCCAATTAAGCAGCAAGATTGGGTGATAAGACAGGGTGCTGGGGTATCGTAAAACGGCTGATTTGAGTCGGAAATGGGGAAAGTCGGTACCAGAAGGAGCACAAAACGGCACCCGGGTGACTCCCCGTTTATCTCGATTTATACCATTTTTCACGACTTTTTACAAATATTCCCGTCTCACACAATCCCCACATGAGATAAACTTTGCGCCCCGATAAGAGATAGAAGTCGGATAAGTGTACCGCAAGGGGCCGAAAAGTAAGACACGCTCGTGATTGCAAGATAGGGCTGAGAGAAAGATTGCCGATCAGGATCTCGTACGATACGGTAGGTTAGTGTCGAATTAGGACATGTAAGTGCATGACTCAGAGTAGTGCTGGAGGAGATGATATTGATTGATTGAGGGGTGGGGACCTGTGGGAAGACCTCTACCTGTGTCAATTGAGCATGTAGAGCTGTTTTACGGCTTTTTCTGAATTTTTCTGATTTTCCCCGGTTTTTCCTGGTTTTTTACGAATATTTGGTTTTTCAAAAATTCTGAAAAACGTCGAAATTTTACCAAAAAACACAAACTAATCAAAACTAACGCTCTCTAGCCCATTACTATCGTAAAAACACCTAGAACGGCTCCATTATCGACAGAAAATACCTATATTCTTGGATTCCCAAATTTTCAGTTTTGACAGCCGTTGCACCTCCCAAAACTAAAATACTATGAGTCAAACTTGAAACCAGCAGGTCCAAGAGCACAACGCATGCATAGCAGTAGAGACGCAAAAAGCACAGAAAAAAGAGAGAAGGAGCAAAAATTCAAGACGACCTCGGAGAGGGTCGAACTCTCGATCTTACGATGGCGGCCATTTAGGTGACTAACAGTCGTACGCCTTAACCAACTTGGCCACGAAGTCTTGAGCGTGTGAAAAACCTTGATTGGGCGAATTTGCTAGGCTAAAGAAAGCACGTGACCCCGCCGAACCCTAACCCTGACGAAGTTGGGGTGTCCTTGAAAGGTGGAGGGGGGTAGGTAGAGGGTGGGGAGGTGTTGGAGGTTGTTGAGGGAGTGAAGGAGAGTGAGTTGGTTGTTTTGGGGAGACTGTAGGGTGTTTCTAGGGTGGTATTTGTGTCATGTTCTGTGGGGGATTAAAAAATAAATTCTTGAAAATAAAAATAAAATGTCTAAATGCAAAAGGCCCAGAAAAACACGGAAAAAAGGGAAAAACAAGTGGAAAAAAGTGGGAAAAAATTGTAGTAACAACTAATAGCCTTTACGCCCTTGCCACATTGACTATACTCTCTTATATATAAAACTCCCCAGTTTAACAACCTCCTCCATCGCCACAACAGATGCATGTGAGACGCACGAAAAGTTGAAAATCAGGCATAGCAAAAAGACAATCTACCATTCCTTCAAACCACCCTCAAACGCCCTACAAACGCCCCAGACATGTCCAAGGTGAAGCGGTTGACGCCGTATGTGGGCCAGATCCATAATCGGGCTCGTCAGGGGTTTGCGGATGTTCCCGCACTTGAAAAAATGCTCAAAAAAAGTGGATTACAGGACTTTTACAGCAAGAGCAAAAATCTCACCATTGTCGATGCTTATGCTGGATACGGATGGTTTTCTACGGCTCTGTACAACTCGTTACAGCCCAAAAAGATGTTTTTGATGGACCCCACTCAATATTCCAGAGCTCCTTTGACTGGCCTTCAAGAACAGGCTCCCAAGGTTATTACTCAGAGCAGTTTTGATCCGTTTCAGTGGCGGTCGTTTTATCCAGTCTACGAAAGCATTCCCAAAAAATACAACAAGCCCGATCGGTCCGAGGTGAGTCGCGATTTTCTCTTTGTGGCCAACCTGTGCTACATTCGAGGAGAGTCTCTTTTGTACCAGTACATTATGTGTATTTTGCATCAGAACTGGCTCCAGCGATACGGACGAGTTCGCATGTTGATTTGGATGTCTGCTACCTGTGCCGAAAAACTGACCCATGGACAGCAGCGAATCGGAATTGCTGGAAAGCAGGCTCTGGTGGCGTACCAGGATAAGCGTATTTTGGAGCTGGAGGGTCTGATTGCCAAGTCTGAAGAGATTGTCAACGACCCCAGATCCAAGCCGAAAATGGTGGCTATGCACAAGAACCGAATCATCAACAACACGGCGATGATGGAGAAATGCGAGCAGAAAAAAGACGACGCTTTGTTCCGCATGGAAAACAAACGGTTCAAAAGCACAATTCTACGAGAACTCACATGCGACTACAGATACCTGATTGGAGGCGATTTCCGGCTCAACAAACGAGAAAAGACGCTCAACGCCACCATGAACAATGCCACCCGAGTCAAACAGATCAGAAAACGAATGGCTGGAGAACCCCCTAAGCCCACAGTCGTGCATTGTCCTTATGATAAGGAGGCTGTGGTGTACTACAAGGAGGGCTACCAAGACATGTTTGTGCCGAAAAAACACACGTCTCTCGGCGGACTGGTACTGGTGGAATTCACGCCCAAAAACATCAAGCTGGATCGACACGAGGAGTGGTGGTTCGTCATCACCAGACTCTTTGTCGTCACAGGACTGCCCGTAGGCAAGTCTCTCGAGACTCTGGGCCCTGGAGCCACCGAGTGGATGACTCCTCATCTCACAGAGTCCATTTTGAAAAACAGAATCAGCCAGCTGACCCTGGATGAAATGAGCGAGCTGGTCGAGGTGTTCTGGAGATGGCCTTTCAAGCCCCAGGTGCTCATGGACACATACGAGGAGCGGGTGGTCAGTACTCCCGATGAGAGTACCTTTGAGAACTCCATGTTTGACGCTGAGGAAGATGGAGATGGAGAAGACATGGACGACGATATCGTCTAGGCTCACAGAGCCATGTACATAGTGAAGCATGACAGTTAAGGTCTTGAGACTACAGTCATAGTAGACTGGGATAATTATTTACAACTACAAGTAGTTGGAGTTGGAGTTTGGAAAAACTTACAAGTACAAAAATGTAGAAAAGATAATACTTGTAGCCATTCCATACAAGTACAAGTAGGTGAGAAATATGTTACTTGTACTGGTGTTCGAATGAGCAAAAGAAGTCAGCTCACCAGTTTGAAAGTTGTCTTTGAGATTTTGAAATCGGTTCTCTATTTTTCCAAGTTCTCAAATTGTACACCTTAACTCATGGACATATATTGACTCAAATCGTATAAAAAGACAACATCAGAACAAAGAATTTGCGAAAAGAGCCCCAATTAACCACCCCATTTGCATCAAAATGAGCAATAAACAGTCTGTGAAAAAAATCAATCCGGTTTTCTCATAATACGCCTATTTACAGAATTTCCGCCATTTACAATTTATTATGCAACAAATTCTATCATAACTCAAATAAATGAAATGAAAATAAATGCAGCTAAAGTGAAGCTATCCAACCTAATTGTACGAATTTTCGTCTCTCTCTACTTCTCTGCTCATTCTTCTACTCGTACTCTATCGCCTTTTCTACTCACTCATTCTTATACTCAAACACCTTTATTACTCTTAACATATATTACCAATGCTCATTACTATCATACATATATCCAAAACCTCCGTCGTCCCTCGTCTTAATCCAATCTAAACACACGTCGCAGCTTGCCAAACTTCTTCTGCTTGCCGTTGGAGCCAATGGCGCCGGGGTGCTCAATCACCTGGGGCTCAGGAGCAGCAACAGACTGCTGGGTGAACTGGGCGTAGCCGCCCTGAGCCTCAGCCTGCTGCTTCTTGAGCGTCTTGGTCGAAGAAAAGAGCTTCTTGCCAAGACCAGGCTCCACGGTAGAAACGGGAGCAGCAGGTCGCATCTCCTCCTTGGAAGAAGAGAAGAACCGCATGCCTCGCTTCTTTCGAGGAGATGTGTTGGAGCCCGAGAACATGCCAGGGCCATCGTCGTCAGAGTCCGAGTCGGCGAACCGAGATCCAGAGTGAACCGGACCTGCAGACACGCCGGCGGGCAGGGCGGGCACGGGAGGCACGTCCTGTCGCAGTGACGTTCGAGGCTCTCGCATGGAGCCCATTCGGAAGGCGCTCATGGAGTTGGCCCGCGAACCTCGGTCAAACGAAGATGCAGAATTTGACCGCACAAGAGTAGGCTGGGAGGGAACAGAGCCTCGTCGAGGCTGGGGCTGCAGAGAAGCCCGGCCAGCTCGGCCCTGGTTCTGCTGCTCTCGAACGGCAGCAAAGCCGTACTGAGGCTCCTGGGCTCGAGCAGGAGACTGCTCCCGGAAGTCCTCCTTGGGCTTTCGGAACTGAGGAGCCCGCATGGAGTAGGGCTCCTGGGGCACGTCTCGTCCGTAGCCAGCGTCGTCTCGCAGAGTGAGCCGGTATCCCTCGTCGGAGACTCCTCCGTTGGTGGAGTTGATACCTCCTCGGCCTCCCCGTCGCTCCCGTCGCCACGACGAGTCGGAGTCGATGGAAGCAGTGTCGTCCATGGGGCCCTCGGGGTGGGGCACGTGCTCCACGACCTCCTCCTCCTCGGCAAAACCAACCTTTTTAGCAGGAGAGGGCTGTCGAGGAGCGTTGGGAGATCCAGGATCGAGAGTGGGGTACTCCACGGGCACGGGGGCCGAAGCAGAAGCACCGGCAGTATGCACAGAAGCCTTGGGCGAAGAAGCGGCCAGGGCAGGCACGGATCCAGGGCCCTCAGAGGCACCGAGTCGAGGACTGGTCTTGAGGTTGCCAAAAGGCTTGACAGGCACATCTTCCTCATCGTCGTCATCCTCGGCAGCGGTGGGCTGCGACACAAACTGAGAGGCAGTAGACTCGAACTGAGCCTCGTCTCCGTAGTTGCTGTCGGCGTACACCGAGTCTCGGGGCTTCTCCACATCAACAGAGTAGTCGGGAATGTTGGCGGCAGCAACTCCAACAGCAGCTCCAGTAGTAGGAGGGCCAGTAGAGGTGTAGTTGGAGCCAATGGAGCCCGAAGAAGGAGAAAACTTGTGATGGGAAGGAGACACAGCGTCAATGTCCATGGAAGAGGGCACGGGCATGTCTCCCAGAGCGTACTGTCGGTAGTTTCGTCGCGACGAGGGCGAAGAAGGAGAACCGGAAAACTGCGAAGACGACAGCTTGGGAGTGGGCAGATCGTCCACATCCGAAGCGGCGTTGGCAGCCTTGGTGTTGACATGCAGCTGGGCGGGAGGCTGCAGGCCACCCTTCTCCTCCTCGTCTCCGTAGACGGAGTCGCCCTCGTTGTCGACCGACTCGAGCGTCGACTCGCTGGGGTTGAATTGCATCTGCTTGCCAAACTTGTCGGCAGCAGCCACAGCTCCAGACACGGCGCTGGCGACAGAGCCAAAGACGCCGGCTCCGAATCTGCTGGGAGAGTCGGGCACGGCGGCCTTGGATCCGACAGGCTCCTCCGGGTCGCCCATGACCTCGTTGTAAGCCTTGGCCTCGTCCTGGGCCTCCTGAACATCGCCAATGGTGGTGACAATGGGAGGCTCAATCTCGTGGCCGGTCTCAGGCTCAGTCTTGGCCTCGACAGCACCCTTGTTGACGGGCTTGACAGGCACGGGAGCCTTGACCTCGGCCCGCTGCAGCAGATCCGTCTTGGAGCCGTTCTTGGTGAGGTGCTCGTGGGCGTCCTGGAACATGGACAGATCCTCCTCGGACTCTGTGGAGTGGTTAGACACCAGATGAGCCTGCTGTCGGGGCTTGGCCTTGGGCTGCACGTACGCAGGCTTGGACTGCACGTACTGCTGCGACTCTCGCTTTCGCTGGGGAGTGTGCATCTTGGCGTGCTTGAGAGCCTGCTGGTGGGCCTGTTCCTGCGCCAGCTGCGACTGCCGTTCGGGCGTCTTGACCACCTTGGGCAGACCGTTGCTGGCGAGCTGGTTGTTGCTGATGGGCACCACAGTGCCGGGCGCAAACTGCTTGGGCCGA